AACCTGTGGGTCACGACCCCTTCGGGGGTCAAACGACCCTTTCACAGGGGTTGCCTAAGACCATCGGAAAACACATATATAATTACATATTGTTTTTGTGATTAATCACTATGCTTTAATTATGTTCAATTTGTAACAATGAAGTTGGGGGTCACCACAACATGAGGAACTGTATTAAAGGGTCGCGGCATTAGGAAGGTTGAGAACCACTGGTTTAGAGACAGTCTATGTAATTGTCAGAACTGAAGCCCAGATGACCTCTTACACACATTTAAGTGGCACTGAAGAGTTTAAACCCATTTCTCTTTTCTCTATCCTCATTATTTACAACTATACATTTTAATTATTTTACATGGAGGAAACATTTAAATATATTTTTAAGCAATTTTTTTTTTTTTAATTCTTAAGAGGAAAATGGCCCAGAATTCTTTATTCCCAGGAAGGTGGGCGATGGTAGAGTCAACACTCAGCTCACAGAGCGTGCCAGTGCATGTGACTCACAGGATAGTTGGCAGTTTCCCCCACGTATCTGGACATTTTGAAGCTTCTTTTCTCCTCAGGGGATAAGCTCTTTTAGCAGTTTTCTGAGCAGGCAAGTAAAATTCTTAAATAATGTAACTCTGTCAATTGACCCTGTTTGTTTCTCACAGCAGTGTCTTGGTTCCGATACTGATTTGTCAGTCAGTGGAGATAGTTGCCGGGATAGTGAGAGCTTGTCCTTACTGCTTGCACTCCTCACTGACTCCCGTTCAGCACCTCTCCTGATGGAAATGATACACTATGATAGCGGCAAAGGAATTCTCCTTCACTGGTGGTTGAGAGTCTTTTATGTAATGTAATATGAGCTCTAGTTCCTTGTCTGATTTAAAGAGAAAAATACTCAGCAGCTGCTTTTACGTTAATTTTTTTTCCTTTTTAATTTCCAAATCCTTACTTTGTAAGCAATTCTTTGTTTTTTTCAGAGAAAAATGCAGGGCAAAAGGAGGTTTACAGTTGTCCATATGGGAAATAATACAATAATGCAATAATACATGAACAATATTACAAGAATAAACTTCGTTTCACATAGTCACAACTGTAAACCTACTTTGCCCCACCCTAATAGTACAGCCTAAAGTAATTAGGTCGGAGTACTGAGCACTGCAGTTTGTTATCATTGTACTAATTGAGAAGTTCAATGAAACCTGATTTTTTAGTATGATTATTTTTTAGAGCAGTTTTAGGTTTCACTGCAAAATTGAGGGAAAGGTACAGAGATTTTCCATATACGCCCTTGCATATAAATAACCTCCTCCATTTTCAACGGCCCCCACCAGAGTAGTACATTTGTTACAGTTGATGAGCCTTCATTGACATATGTCTTAATCACCCGAAGTCCATTGAAAGCTAATTTACTGTTCCTGATCTGGAAGTTGAATATCAGTTTTTTGTTTTTGTTTTTAGAATATATTTTATTGATTTTTTTACAGAGAGGAAGGGAGAGAGGTAGAAACATCAATGAGAGAGAAACATCGATCAGCTGCCTCCTGCACATCTCCCACTGGGGATGTGCCCGCAACCCAGGTACATGCCCTTGACCGGAATCGAACCTGGGACCCTTCAGTCTGGAGGCCGACGCTCTATCCACTGAGCCAAACCAGTTTCTGCTGAATATCAGTTTTTATTGCAGCATATCAATTCAGTAATGTTAAAACGATATGTAAAGAATTTTCATCCTTGGTTACTGAGTTCACCCAGTTTCGTGTCTTTGGGTTTGTATATTCTGGTCCATTGGATAAAAGCTATTGGGAAAACTAGTGAAGCACAACCAGGGGTATTACGATCAAGCGAAGTTTATTCCTGGTACTAATTGATTCAGAGAGGACAGAGACCGGGACTTGCTCTTAGACTGGGAGTTGAGCTGCTTGTAACAGTAGAAACCCAAAACTCTGCTGCCAGATTCATCGTTATTATTTAACACACTACTTGACTATGATTTACACTATTAATTTGGAAAGACAATCTTTCAATTTAAAGAGATAAGATATAGTAGATGAATTGGCATTTGCACAGATTCTGAAGCAGTGGTTTTCAGCCTTGGCTGCACATAGAAATTGCCTGGGGGCTTCTATAAATCCCAGTGCGCAGACTGCACCCCAGACCAATTTCATTGGAAACACTAGATGGTGGGACCTCAGCAGTATTTTTTAAAGTTTATTTTAATGTGAAGCCAGGGTTGAGAATCTTTGTTAGAGAAAGTGATGGACGTCATTGGATGCTTTATCTTGAGTTATCATTGAGACTTAATTTAGGATTTTCACACTTTTAAGGCTTTTGGTGAGATATTCAGCTTAGGAGCATAATTACTGTTTACAATTGTACTTCAGAGTACAGACGACTCTCATAAAAAAGAAATGTAATTGCCTTTCAAAGCCTTCTTTCAAAATTTCCCATTAAAATGTTAATAGTAACCTTCATTTATTCATTGACTTAAATCATTGAAACTACTTATTTATTTATACATCTATTTTATGGCATTTCTACATTTTGGGGATATTTTTCTCATAACACATACATCTTATTTATTGTATGATATCAGAGAGAAGGCAGCTTTTGAATTCCTAAAATGGATTCTTAATGTGGAATATTGGAAATGGCACCATCTCTTCTAGACAATTAGAATGTTCAGTTAACATCATACTATTTACAAATGCTGCCAGGTAGTCAATGTTTTCTGTTTCTGTAAAGTATGTTTCTGTGAGATTGAGAAACTTTGTGTTTGGAAATTTGGGGAAACAAATTTTACTACTTCATAATGAGAATACTTAATTACAAAAAATACAGTATTTTTTACCTTAAACTATTTGCCTATCATGTAATGAGCATCCTAGGGCTACCATATCATAACTGGATACCATGGCAACCATTGCCATTGCTTTTGCTGTGCTTCGGTCACACCAAAGGAAATAGAACTGCCTTCATGTTCTGAGTCTGCCATACAGGGTTGTCTTTGAAGATGATGAGCCAGTGATTCTGAAATAGTGATTATTTCTAGAAGTTCTTTTCTTAGATATGTCCTTGAGTTCATATTGTATTTCAAAAGTTATAATGTTTTCTCCAACAGTTATCCATTTGTTAATATCTCACGTTTGATTAATCCTTAGTTAACAATCAGAAAAATCATATTTGTTCACTTTTAAAAATATGTAGAATATAGTCATGTAAGTGAAGGTTTATGTTTTGTCATATCGAAATAGAAAATTTAAGGTGAAACCACATCTTTCTTTTTGATCACATTACTTCGGTAGGACCAGATGGATCATACTTCTTCAGGTCATCATCCAAACAAAAAAAGAAAGGTAGCAGATACTGAATTTTGTAGTGTGTGTGTGTTTTTATTAAGTAACTTTAATGCTGCAAAAGCAAAAATAGAATATATTGGAATAATATCAGTGATGTAATATAAGACATGAATATTTTCATTTCGGTTTTAAGGCAAATATAAATGAAAAGATAATTAGTTTTATATACATTAGGAAACAAGAATTTATTGAAGCTCTTAAATAATTCCACAAGTTACCATTCTGAGTTTGTATATGTGCTTAATATATATATTTTTTTAAATATATTTTATTGCTTTTTCACAGAGAGGAAGAGAGAGGGACAGAGAGCTAGAAACATCAATGAGAGAGAAACATCAATCAGCTGCCTCCTGCACACCTCCCACTGGGGATGTGCCTGCTACCAAGGTACATGCCTTTGGCCGGAATCGAACCTGGGGCCCTTCAGTCTGCAGGCCGATGCTCTATCCACTGAGCCAAACTGGTCAGGGCTGTGCTTTATATTTTTGTACTTGATTTACTTTTATGTTTGGCAGAACTTTTCAACTCCAACTGTAGGGAGAGCTAAAGGTTTCTATAGTAACTGAAATAAACATTTTTATATTCCCCAAAATTCGGTTATTAGGAAAGCTAAGGAGTGTGTGTGTGTATATGTATGTGTATGTGTATGTGTATGTGTATGTGTATGTGTATGTGTATGTGTGTGTGTGTTAAGTTTAATACTTGAGGAGTCTTGTGGTTTGATCTTGTTTAACCCTTTTGTTTTAAAATAGGGGAGCTGAGGCCCAGAGTTAAGTGTCTTGCCCGAGTTTAGTCCCTTACTTAGTCACTAGAATCACAAATCTGGTTCCCATTTAGAGTTGTTTTTGTTATTGTTTTTTAAGTCATAGCATTCTGCTTTAGAAAAAATAGGCAACTTTGAATTTACAAATAAGGAACGCCCTTGGTTAGAAAGTAACAAATGCAAAATATTGCCTCCACATATTTTATATTTTATTTTGGTTTTGCAGCATTTTACAAAAGAAAATTAAAGGTTTATTTTTGTTTTTAAAATAGTTGGTGCAGTAACTTTCTACATGACTTCTTATTTTCTCTAACAGCTTATATCTACAAGTCTGAGTATCACTTTGTGTCTGTAGATGTGTGAAAATTGTTAAAATTTATGGCAATCAGTATGATTGGTTATGTTTTGAATCTCCTCTAACATTCTCCATATTTGGATATTGTGAAAGGAGATGTTTCTTGCAGTGCATATTATTTTAATAGTCTAACTCATATAATACAGTATCTATGACAGTATTTATAATTCTCTTTTGTTCTCAGTGTACTAACAGATGAAATTTACAAACCATATTTCATCCTTTTCCCAAATAGTAGGTCCCTGACCAATAAAACCTTTAGATAAAATACCTTGTGTTTTTACAATCTTAATAATCTTGTTAACCTTGGGGATCATGAAAATTTGTGTAGGGTCAAATTGTTCATGCATTTCATTTAAACTTTCTGGTAGCTTTTTCAATTATTGTGAAGTATGAGTGTTTTCAGAGATAAGACCCAATGGTGACTTGTCAACTACTGTATTTATATGTGAGATAGACTGGTTTTAGAGATGGCTACAAGACACTGACATATAAACTTCGGCCTTAGTGGGTAAATAACATCTTTTAACTTCTCTTTCAGAACAAAGGAAGAATTATGCACGCGACAGTATCAGCAGTGTATCAGATATATCCCAATACCGTGTTGAAGTAAGATGCTTTCACGTTTGCTAAAATTTAGAATGAACCTTTAAGGGTTCATTTTATTACCAATAAAAATTGTGTTTTATTTGATTCCTGTGATGTATTCTATAGCATGTTGACTTTTTTTTTTTTTTAGATTTTTGGAAAATAGATGTTAAGTGTAAAAGTATTTTGTTAGTCTGGTGTCTATTTTCATATAGAATAAATTAAAATTGCTACTCATTTATCATTGTCAGCCCAATTTCTGTTAAAGACAGGACAAAGACTTCTATTTTATATTAGAGAATTTTCTTAGAATTAAGCCTTTGATAGTTTTATTTTTATTTTATTTTTATCTAGTTATTACTAGATCTATTTAAACAGTGTTTTTAGTTTTTATTTTTTCCTCTGTTATCTTGGAAGATATTTGCTTTTAATTAGAATCTAGGTGTCCTTTGCTTATAATAGAAAATATTTAAATAGGAAAGTAATTTTTATTTTTTTAAGTTGAGGTAACATTGGTTAATAATATAAGTTTCAGGTGTACAACATTAGAATCTGACATCTGTGTACACTACATCAGACTCACCACTAAAAGCCTAGCTTCCCTTTGGCACCATACATTTCACCCTCCTCCCACTCGCTGCCTCTGGTAACCAGCAGTCTGTTTCCGTATCCATGAGTTTGTTCTTGTTTTGTTTGGTTAGTTTCTTTCTTGTTTTATATTCTACATGTGAGTGAAGTCGTACCATTTTGTCCTTTTCTGGCTGATTTATTTCAATGAGCACAATACCCACAAGGTCCATCCATAATGTCACAGTGGCAGTCTTTCAACTTCTTTTATGGTGAAGTAGTATTGGATCGTGTGTGTGTGTGTGTGTGTGTGTGTGTGCACGTGCATGCGCGCGCGCGTGTGTGTGTGTTATGTATATGTATATCTATATGTATAGGTATATCTCACATCTCCTTTATCCATTCATCTGTCTATGGTCACTGGTTATTTCCATATTTTGGCTATTGTAAATTTTGGCTGTAGTAAACAGGGATATATCTATCTTTTTGAATTAGTGATTTCATAGCTTCAGATAAATACCCAGAAGTAGAAGATCATATGTAATTCCATTCTTAATTTTGAGGAACCTCCCTGCTGGTTTACATGGTGGCCACACCAGTTTATAACCCCACTGACAGTGTATGAGGGGGAAAGTGATGTTTAAATTGCTCTTATTTTTAATTTTCTGCGTATTTTAACCTTGTTTAATCAGGTGGTTTTAGTAGATTGAAAGTTTGATCGTGGTTACAGACTAGCATTGCTGTTGCTGCTCAGTTATGCGTGTATAGTTTTCAAGCTGCCACGCAGCTTGCCTGCTGTCCAGCATTCAGATAACAACATGGAATAAAATGGGCAGGGTGATTTTAAGATAATGTTATTTAAGCTGTTTAGAATTTGTTTCTATGACATGTTTATGTAGTTTCATATAGCTCAATATTAAACAGATTTAGCTGTGTGTTTTTTTTATTCAAGACATCATTTCCTCTCTTCTTCCAAATAATGCTTGACTTTATTATCTCAGTAAAGTAACCGTGAAGTTCTTGAGTAATCGGTTTGTCCTTCACCTCTTTGCTAGTTGATGTCAATTAGGTTAACTTTGCTCTCTTTGGGAAAATGTGCACTAAGAGACTGTGTGAGTGTTACACATACTTTTTCTTTTTGCCTATCATAAGCACTTGACTACCTTCGTTCTGGATCGGAAAGATGCTATGATAACTATTGATGATGGAATAAGGAAGCTGAAATTGCTTGATGCCAAGGGCAAAGTGTGGACTCAAGATATGATCCTTCAAGTGGATGAAAGAGCTGTGAGCTTGATTGATTTAGAATCAAAGGCAAGTTTGTAATGTTTATACTGTTTTATTTTTAAGAAAATTCTACAAATATGTATGCTTACAATTAGGTCAGATTGCTTGCAAATTTGTGTGAAAGTTTGACCAAATAAAATATGTTTGTTAATGATTTTTTAAAAAATAGCATATGTACATTATTTATGCAAAATCAGTTTTTAAACTAGAGTTAGAGGCATACTCTTTTTTTTAAAATCACAAATGATAAGATGGAAGAAGGGAGGAAAAAATACACAGTCTAAAATAAGACCCCAGTGGGGCATAACACTTTATGGCATAGATTAATTACATGTTAGGCTGAACTACATGCCAGTAAATGAGTGAATTGGGATGAAAAGGTTGCGTGTGTATTAACTTTTCATCAGATCCACAGGAGGCACCTTTTTCACACAAGCACGGGCAGGTAAGAAGCTGGAGCTCTTAAAAGAGGACTTTTCTGAGCCCTGTCACCTAATGACGTTCGAGCTCCTAAGATAAGGAAAATAACTATTGTGAACACATTAGAATATTCTGATAGGAGCGGGGGTAAAATTTGCCCTTTCATCTCACCCATTGTATACTGTAGGAGAAGAGCAACTGAGGGCTTCTCTGACCCTCGTGGTTTCAGGTAATTATAGAGAAAGGATATTATTTAAGTTTCCTTCAGGAAAGAGAGAACATGTGTTATCTTTCTGGTATGGCTTAGACATTACATTCTATTGTAATGGAACCTGCATTTCTTGTTTCACATTTGCTGGATCTCAGGGATTAGGATTTAGCATAAATTTATGATGTGATGTATATCTATGGGCATCCATAAAATAAGGTTGTTTTTTATATTCTAGTTATCAGGGATATTGTATTTTATTGTAGACACCCCCCCACCCCCAATTTCTACCATCAATTACATCCTAACACCACTCACAATTTGTGTAAAGCCATTAGTGTCAGGATAATCACCTTAAATATCTCATTAAGTCAGTGGTTCTCAACCTTCCTAATGCCACAACCCTTTAATACAGTTCCTCATGTTGTGGTGACCCCCAACCATAAAATTATTTTCGTTGCTACTTCATAACTGTAATTTTGCTACTGTTATGAATGATAATGTAAATATCTGATATGCAGGATGTATTTTCATTGTTACAAATTGAACATAATTAAAGCATAGTGATTACTTGCAAAAACAATAAATAATTATATATGTGTTTTCCGATGGTCTTAGGCGACCCCTGTGAAAGGGCCATTTGACCCCCAAAGGGGTCGTGACCCACAGGTTGAGAACCACTGCATTAAGTATAGGATTCTAATTGTGAGCAGAAAGTTCATTTATTTTAAGAAGTACTGAAATTATTTAATGTGTTGGTATTTTATTTGGACAATTCTTTAAAGGTTACAGAGTATTCACTTTTATACACCAAAAACCTTAATCGTTTTGCAGAATGTATTTCTTATAGAGATCCTTCTGATCCTGTTTTACATTTTTTGGCTGGATTTTATCTATATAGTGAATTTTTGCATTTGAGATATTCACTGAAAATGTACAAATGATATATTATTCTTAGCCTAACATTTATATGTATATATATGTGTGTATATGTATATATGTATGCATATTTGTACGTCTGACTATACAGTGTTCAAGTTAAAAAATATTCTGACATTACATAGCCAGAGGGAAAAGAATACCATGTGAGATGGTGAATTATTTTGGAAAGAGCCCCCTCATTTTACTTTTTTTTTTTTGCTGTTAAAGGTACCATCTCTACCTTATAATCTGAGGAGATCAAGAATGCTAAATTCAGTATTTTGTTTATTAAGAGAATAACTGCATTTCTCTACTAAATATCTCCATTTTTGTTGCTTTTTCTCCCACCCATTATCCAGCCCAGCCTGTACCTACTCATCCTCCGTATCTACAAGTGTTTACTAATATTCAGTGTCAATATGATTTGTGCACTTCAAAATATCTTTAAATGCCTAGATTTTATATATACAATAGATTTTATATATACAGTAAAAAGTAAGGCAAATTCTATTTTGCTTTATAGAATGAATTGGAGAATTTTCCTTTAAACACAATCCAGCACTGCCAAGCTGTGATGCACTCCTGTAACTATGACTCAATTCTTGCTCTGGTGTGCAAAGAGCCAACTCAGAACAAGCCGGATCTTCATCTTTTCCAGTGTGATGAGATTAAGGTAAAAGAAGCGTGAACTTTCTTTCCCTTTACGCAGATGTTCTGGCAGCTTTTGAATTATTTACTTCAAGCAAATGGCTGGTGGGTACTAGATGCTTAGTTTCTTATAATTTTGTAAGGTAAACAAATAACTTAGTGTCTTCTTTAAGGTTTCCAGGTAAATAAATAGGAGATAGAATGGTATTAAAAAAAAAAATCAGATGCATTTTATTTATTAAAAAAGTGTAGATAATATATTAAATCCTTCATTGAATGACTTGGACTTATAATTAAACATTGATTCTACAGAAATCATGCTTCATGGGCAAAAAATAATCACACAGTATTGTTTTATTAAACACCAATCACAAAGCATGGATTATTACAACAAGATGTTTTCCAGGATATTGATTTAAAGTTTCCCATTTAATTGTGTGATTGGATAATTGCTCAAGACTTGTAATCCCTAGTGGTAATGCAAAAATAGTTAAGTATAGTTTTCAGTAATAATAAACTATATCCTGAAGATTTGTATTTCAGAGTGCACTGTAGTTTTCAAACGATTATAATTTGTGATGCTCTATTGGACATTAGAAGCTACCCTGAGCCTTAAATATCTTTATTGCATGAGTTGATTTCTCTAAAAGGAAAATCATTTGGGTTGAGTTTATTGGTACTTTTCCAAAGCAGTGATGTATCACTGTATATTATAAAATATAAGGTAATTTTTATCTTATAAAGAAATGCTGAGAGATTAGCATAAAGTGTCACTTGATCTTTTCTGTATTTCTTTGACATCAAAATATAATGACAGTGATAAGTTAAGATTGACTGCAAATAGTGTATTTTATAATTTTACTCTTATTTCAATTGATGTCATGGATGACTTTCTAAAAATCTTACCTTAAAAGAACTGTGGCATGTAGGTAATTTCTATATGAAATGTTTTATCTGATTTTTGTATAGTGCCTTTGGAAAGTTATAAAGTATGTTAAAAATTCTGCAAGGGTGGATTTAAATCAGTAGGTATTAAAGTGACTATTTAGCTCTGAAAATCTAAACATTTTAAAAACAGAGGACTAACCTAAAAGACATGTTACATCTGGTGTTTGCCTCATTGTTCCAGAAGCCCCTCTGGAAACCGAGTTACTGTGCTGACTAAAGTTTCTGGATTTCACTTTTGAGAATAAAGGGCTTGCTTTATTTGATAGGGATGCGATATTGATGGGTTTGAAACTATGTACTGAACACTGTGTCTCCTAATTAAAAGCTCAAGTACCACTCTGTAGCTGAATGCATTTACTCACTGGTACCATATTCCACATATGAGACTTTTTCTCCCTGGCACCCTTAAAAATATTAATACAATGAAATATAGTGTGGTTTCTTTTATATGGATCACCTTGCAATGTCACTTTTGAACTTTAAACTTTCTTTGTTATGGGACTTTTACAATGTTCCCACCCACATTTGTAGTAAAATTATTCTTAGAAATCACCCCACATGAGAAGTTCAGGGTTTCTAGGCATCTTCAGTTTTAATCTCCGACATAACAGAAAGCCTTTGGCATGGTGTTTGTAGTGTCTTCCCGAGAGTAGGATGTTCTTATGGCAATAACACTGGACCGGGCTGCTTTAGCACTTGCATTTAACTAGCAGTGTGACCTTGACCACACCATCAAAGAAGTATTTCTTAGTTTCCTAAATTATAAAGCAAGGAGAACAGATTAGATAATCTTTAAGTGTCCTCAGCTCTCTAATTTTATGATTACCTGAGCTTATGGCAAAAGAATATTTTATGTATACATATTTGAGAAAAACATACATAATTATAGAGAACAAGCAGGAACAAAAATAGGAGATGGTTACATGCCAGCAAGAGTCTAATACACAGTAATAATCATGGGTTATATATAAACTTCACAATCAAACAAAATAAACTTCTTTGCTGCTAATCTCATATCAATTCCCAAGAAAAGAGAATCAAATGTTCTTGTTGGAGAAGTTAATTGTTTGGAGGATGTTAATTTTTACCTGAAATGATAAAATAAAGTGGTTATTGAAAACAGGGTACATCTGTGATTATAGTGGGGTCATCTGTGATTGGGGTCATCTGTGATTACAGTGGCTTTGTCCTGCACTGGGAGCAGTTCTGTTGGGACAGATCACTCTGTCTGTGGGCGGATGGGTGTCTAGTGGATACTGAGGATGAGAAGGGAAGGAACTCCACCATACATATGTGTGCTTCTAACATCTTCATTTCTTCTTGGGATGATATTTACTTAGTTATACTTTCCTTTTTGTTGTTTTTCGTTAGTCCTTACCCAAGGATATTTTTCCATTGATTTTTAGAAAGAGTAGAAGAGACAGGGAGAGAGAGAGAAAAGAGAAACACTGACGTGAGATACATCGATTGGTTGCCTCCTGCATGGGGTCCAGACCAGGACTGGGGATGGAGCCTACAACCGAGGTATATGCTGTTGACCGGAATCGAACCGAGGACCTTTCAGTCTGCAGGCTGCTTCTCTGTCCACTGAGCCAAAGCAGCTAGGGCTACCTAGTTACATTTTTTGCATATGATTATACTTATGTTAATTTTCTTCTATTTGCAAATTCTTTTTCTATTTGCCTTTATGCAAGGATAGCTGTTTTTAAACTAAAGGAATCAATATTTAAACAATTTAAACACTATTTAAAAATTCCTTCAGTTTTTAAATCTTGTCATAGTAAAGTTCACCATCAAAAGGAAGCAGATTTAAAAAAAAAACACCCAGTTCTATTTTGCATCAAGGTACTCATTGATTCAGACAGGGAACATAACCTCTTTTTCTGTTTTAATCTGCATATCGAGACAAGAACATCTATAACCTCTGAGGTAACTTGTCTTTCATCGCAGGCAAACCTAATTACTGAAGATATTGAAAGTGCAAGATATATGTGTTTTCCGATGGTCTTAGGCGACCCCTGTGAAAGGGTCGTTCGACCCCCAAAGGGGTCGCGACCCACAGGCTGAGAACCGCTGCTCGAAAGGTTTATAAGAATTACTTTCAATGACGGTATAGTTTACAGATTACAACCTGTAATCACAACCCCTTTGCCTCCCAGGTTTGTCGGAGTGTGAGCAGTTTCTGTCTATGTTCCCATCTGTCTCTGATGTGGCTTCTGCCACCTGTGCTGTCCTAGAGCCACGAAAGATGAGTGGCATTTCGGGGAAGGTGGCTCAAGGGAGTCCAATGGACATGAGGACTACAGTTAGTACACAGCCTTTCCAAATCACAGGAGACCAGAAAAAAGGTTAAACCTAGTTTTCAGCTGAATTTTAAAAAGTTGAACCTAGTTTTCAGCTGAATTTAATTTTTTTTATTTTTCATACATTTACAGATATATGTAATAAGGAAGAGTTAGGAAATCCTTACTGTTCTGCTGCTTGACGTAGTCTTCTTGAAGTTAGAAAACTAAGACCATCCACTGAGAGAATTGATGTCATAGAAATAGAGATGGTAAAGATTCAATTTGTTTCATCATTTTTAGGATGATTTCCAAGGCAGACCCTGGTATACCGCCTCCACCCAGAGCTCCTGCCCCTGTGCCCCCTGGGACTGTTACCCAGGTGGATGTTAGAAGTCGGGTGGCAGCCTGGTCTGCATGGGCAGCTGACCAAGGGGACTGTGAGTATTTCTAGGAATTGATACTTAATGAACATTTACATGGGGTTGTGATGTAATTCTTGCTTTCAAAATCTGATGTTAATTTATGAGCTGAAGCTTGAGATTAGTTTTCAAAATTTAAATCTTAGATAAAGGAATGCTAAGCTTGAACACTATTAAGATTGTTGTATATGAGGAATTCAGACCAATCATTTAATGAATAAGGTGTTAGGATTAGAGTATTTTTTAATGCAATCAAAAGTGGAAGGTTTGACTCTACTAACAATTAAAAGGATGGTAACAAAATATATACCAAACAAGAGACTATGAGGTTTTTTATTTTATTTTTTAATATGTTTTTATTGATTTTAGAGAGAGGAAGAGAGAGGGAGAGATAGGAACATCAATGATGAGAGGAATCATTGACCAGCTGCTTCCTGCAAGCCCCCTACTGGGGACTGAGCCTGAAACCAGGGCATGTGCCTTACCAGGAATCAAACCCTGACCTCCTTGGTTCATGGGTGGACACCCAACCAGTGAGCCACACTGGCTATGAGGTGTTTTCTTTTTTTTAAATTTAAGGTTATACTTCAAATTCTTTCCATTATTATTATCTTACTGCTGTTTTCTCTTGACCAACTTAGTTGTGGTTACATGGAAAGGATGTCTGGACAGGAGTAGGACAGTGGAAACGAGGTAAAAGGCATCTGCCATCTGCCTAACCTTGTCAAATGGACCCTTTGTATGTCAAAAGGACCATTTCAACTTGATAGTCTTTTTGTAAAGACAAATAATCATAAGCATAGAACTTCAGTGATGGAGGACTACAACGTTCCCCGCCTGCCTTGCTGGCCTCTGAGCCTGCAGTTTAAGAAACATAGTAACAAATAGAAGCTAAACAAAACCCCAGAAACCAGCTTTCAGGGAGCTGGGATCTCAGAGCTGGAGTTGATACAGAGTTTCGATTATAGAACCGAAACAAACCAGATACCTGCTTTCAGAAGCGGAAGCCTCAGAGCTGGAGCCAGGCTAAAGCTGGCCCAGAATAAAAAAAAGAAAAAGAAAAAAAGGAGCAGTTGGGAGCTTCAGTCACAGCCTGAAAACAGCCCTCAGCCCCTCCCCCAGACTGGCCAGGCACCCCAGTGGGGACCCCCACCCTCATCCAGGATACCCTTCAGGGCAAACCAGCAAGCCCCACCCATGCACCGGGCCTCTATTCTATATAGTAAAAGGGTAGTATGCCTCCCAGCACCGGGAGCAGCGTGACAGGGGGCAGTGCCCAAACCCCCTGATCGGCTCTGCTCTGTGCCTGATAGTGGGGAGCTCCCCAACCCCTTGATCGCCCTGCGGCTCTGTGTGTGACAGGGTGCGGCGCCCCAACGCCCCCCCCCCACGGGCCCTGCTCTGTGTGTGATGGGGTAGAGCCATAACCTCCCCATCGGCCCTGCCCTGAGTGTGAGAGTGGCGGCATCCCAACCACCTGACTAGCCCTGCACTGTGGGTGATAGAGGGCAGTGCCCCAATCCCCTGAACCGCCCTGGTCTGTGTGTGACAAGGGGCGGTGCCCCAACTCCCCTATCAGCCCGACTCTGTGAGTGACAGGGGGAAGCTCCTCAACCCCCTGATGGGCCCTGCTCTGTGCGTGACAGGGGGGAGCTCCCAACCCCCCTGATCGGCCCTGCTCTGTGCATGACAAGGGGCGGCACCCCACCACCCCAATCGGCCCTGCTCTGAGCCCGACCAGGGGCTGCACCTAGGGATTGGGCCTGCCCTCTGCCACCCGGGAGCAGGCCTAAGCCAGCAGGTCGTTATCTCCCGAGGGGTCCCAGACTGCCAGAGGGCACAGGCTGGGCTGAGGGACCCCCCCTACCCCCCGAGTGCCACAAATTTTTGTGCCCTGGGCCTCTAGTCATCTATATAAAAGCCTAAGCGACCAAATGACCGGTTGACTGGTTGCTGTGATGCACACTGACCATCAGGGGGAAGATGCTCAATGCAGGAGCTATCCCCCGGTGGTCAGTGCACTCCCACAGCCAACCTCCTGCAGTCCCTCCCCCACACCCACCAGCTGGCCGGCCCCATTAGGCCCCATCACCGGCCAGGCCGAGGACCCCATCTGTGCAAGAATTCATGCACCGGGCCTCTAGTGGGAATAATAATAACTCATGGGTTGCTGTGAGTCTGATAGCAAATAATGTCAATAACAGTATCTCGTTCAGTTTAGTAAGCAGAATTTGTGGTGGTTCTCTTTTTTACCAAGTTGAGATCATTTTATTTTCTGAAATGCTTTCCACTTTATTTAAATTTCTCTTATCCTTAAAGTCATTTTCAGAGGTTTACACATAAGCCCATCTACCAAATAGATGAAAGAAAGAAATCTTCGAAGCATCCATTTTTTTCAAAAATAAAGTAACAGAATTATTGCTTATTTTAACTTTATAACAGTTTCTGTTTTTAGGAATTACATAAATTTCTATTAATTCATTTTTGTTTGTAAAATTTTGTGCATAAGAAACTAGTTAGGATGCCTGGCCGGCATGGCTCTGCAGATGAGCATCGATCTA